TTCCTTCCTTCCTTCCTTCCTTCCTTCCTTCCTTCCTTCCTTCCTTCTTTCTTTCTTTCTTTCTTTCTTTTTATGGGGAGAAAGAGAGCGCACACATGGCAGGGGGCAGGCAGAAGGAGAGGGAGAGAAAATCTTAAGCAGGCTCTATGTCCAGCACAGCTCGACCTCACGACCCTGAGATCACGACCTGAGCCAAAATCAAGAGTCAGATGCTTAACTGACCGAGCCACCCAGGTGCCTCTCAAACCCACTTCTAAAACTTAACTCTTATTTCTTATTTCCATCCCTTGTCCCATTCTTGTTTTCTTCCTATATTTCCAGCTCAATTTCATCCACTTCCCCCACATCTGAAACTCTGAAGTCTCTCCTAGCAATCCCCTTTCGCTTCCTTGACATGTTCCTGGTCACAAAGTCCTGCCGATCATGCCTCCTAAATAGCTCCTGCCTCATCTCCCCCCCTCCCCCACATCTCCAGTAGTGCTCTAGCTCAGCTTCTCTCCAAGACAAAATAAATTTTTAAAGACAGACTCACTCAATCTATTTATGCAGCAGTGTTATCTCCGTTTAGCACATACTTCTATCATTGTACCAACCCCACCATTATCTCCATATTTTACTTTATTTGATTACATGTTGGTTTCTCCTCCTCAACAGTTAGATGGCAGAAAAGACCTGTCATTATTCAACACCACTGCCTAGTAAACAGTATGCAACTTGATAAAAGTTTGTGCAATTACATGAATCACTTCTCGCATATTCTATTACAAAACTCTCCTGATTTGGGAATGTGACTTCAGTTCTAACACTGTCAACCCCCTCACCCATCAACCTGTCCCACAAATCAGCCATCGCTACAACAACAGAATGACCTCTTCTTTTTAAAGATTTTATTGATTTATTTATTTGTTAGAGAGAGAGCGCGCACAAGCAGGGGGGAGGGGCAGAGGGAGAAGCAGGCTCCCCGCTGAGCAGGGAGCCCGATGCGGGGCTTGATCCCGGGACCCTGGGATCATGACCCAAGCCGAAGGCAGACGCTTAACTGACTGAGCCACCCAGGTGCCCCAGAATTCTCTCTTTAAATTACAAATCTGATCTCATGCTCTTATCTTCAATGACAAAGTCAGGCTTAGCACTTAAGGCTCTTCATCATCTCTCTGCTGCCTATCCTTCCAGCCATTATTGCCCCATCAATCTCCAAGTGCATCCTAAAGGTCCACTAAGTACTCTGAAGACCCGCACGGAGTATGTCATGGTCACAGCTTCTGCATAACTTTGTGCTCAATGTCCCTTTCTTAAAAAACATTTCCTTGACTTTTTCAATTAACAAACTATCTCCCCTAAAACTTTGGTCCCCTGCCTGCCCTCCCCAAGATTTCTTCCCCTTGAATTCTTGAATTCTTCCCCTTCATCCTTACTCTGTATTCCGGTCCTAAAGCAAAGACAGCTACTTTTGGGCTCACTGCACATTCTTCTAAAAAGCCACATTGTTGCCTCTATTCTATGGATCCATTTATCTATCTGCATTCCCCTTTCCAATATTTGAGCCCTTCCCTAGAGGATTCATTCATCTCTTCTTGGTTCACCATTATCACACAGCTCGGCTCAAAGAAGATTCTCTGGAAGAGCTGGTTTAAGGAATCCAATTCAGGAATCACTAATAAAGTGACATGTGACTTCCTCTGAATAGAGTGGGATACAGACTAACCTGAATTTGTGTTACTGGGAAGTAACTATGTCATCATCTTCTTACAGGGCTGGTGCTGGCATCTTGTTTTATCTACATGCCGCTGGAAACACATTCTCAACCACACGCACAAAAATATCACACCTTCGTTTGCAGCTAAAATGGCTCTTTCCAAAATGCTATCTGCTTCTTTGGGTGTTCGCTATTTACCCATCAAGGTTGTGTAAACTTGTAATGAAATAAATTGTTTGTATGAATTTGAAATAAAATAGATCAATATAACCAAAAAAGCATGTTCATTCTAAATCATGAACATTTGTTATTACTGTTTTTGTACCAAGAACCCATTTTTTTTCGCATTTTAAAGCTCATCCTTATTTTATCTCAATGTTAAAACCTCCTATAAAACTCCTAAGATGTTGAAAAATAAATCTGACTGATAGAAAGTTAGCCCTACAGGTGAGAACATAAAGAAACTCCTTTCACATCTTCTGTGATATTTTGACTAAAAATATAAACAAAACAAAAGTAGGTCAAGGAAGAAAAGCATCTTCTCACCGATGGGCCTTCTCCAATGTGAATGTGTGTCTTCTGCTTGGCTTCACACAGCTGCCTCAAATGTAAAATCACAAGTTCATTCTCCTCCTGGTCACTGATTGGCTTCATTTTCTGTCCAAGAGACAAACCAACAGCACACTATGCAACACAGTTTCTCTCATTTTACTATATTCCCACTTGGTTTCATGTGTCTGGCACAGAGACATAAATAAATCTAAGCGTTTCACTGCTCTCAGAAGCAAGAGTAACAGTGGTATTCTGGTTACTATCACATATAGTGCAATAGGATATATATCTTTAACTTCAGAGAGAGGAATGAAAAAAAAAAACTTGTAAAAACAGGATCCAATTCTCATTTCTTATATCTTATTTGTGAGAACCATAAATCATGTTACCTGAACTCGCTCAAAGATGTCCGCTTGCTCGTTATCTGTCAGTGATGAGAGATGCCTCTGTATTACCAGCTTGGCTCTCGGCGGGTAGAGACCTAGGGAAAATGATGGGGATAAGTATTAAACAGAGTGCAGCTGCAGAGATCAAAATGCATATATCAGGTATTACAGCTTGTCCCTTTGCCAGCAGGCTCTGAGGTTAAATCTTCTCAAGGAGCGGTCCCTGCCTATAACAAACCTTGGAACACTACCACGAAATGATGAAAGCTAGATGGAACCCTTACCAAAATCAACGGCCCCCTGTCAGTTACCCTGAAGTCAGATTTATTAACAAGAAGTTTCTAAAGGACACCAAATCAACAGCATAACCAGGTACCATTTAGTATACGAACACAGACACTGTAGAAACTCATTCGTGAATTGGCCAAACTATTAATGAATAGCATTGGCCAAAATCTCTGAGCTTAAACCATGACATAATACTAATTTAATATTAATGTATTAAAAGGCAGAGCTACAGCATAAAAGGGAGTCTCTCCTCCTCATGCAGGTCTTGTTCCGTGGTAACAAAATTTCAGGAATAGCAATAGTACTTGGTGTTATTATTTTACCATGAAATTGTTACCTTTTCATATCATGTTATTTTTATATCTATCACACTCTTACACATAATTTATATCAAGTCCTTGGGCAAAAATATTTTCCATGAAAACGTTCTTGGTTTTATAAATTTTTTTAATTTTTATTTTTTTTATTTATTCATTTGAAAGAGAGATGGAGACAGAGAGAGCACAAGCAGGGGGAGAGGCAAAGGGAGAGGGAGAAGCAGACTCCCCGCTGAGCTGGGAGGCCGACATGGGGCTCAATCCCAGGACCCGGAGATCATGACCCAAGATGAAGGCAGATGCTCAACTGACTGAGCCACCCAGGCGCTCCAGAAGTTTTTTTTAAAAGAGAAGAGTTATTTTCCTCTGAGTAAGATAACACTGTGTGTCGGGCGCCTGGGTGGCTCAGTTGGTTGGGCGACTGCCTTCGGCTCAGGTCAGGACCCTGGAGTCCCGGGATCGAGTCCCACGTCGGGCTCCCTGCTCAGCAGGGAGTCTGCTTCTCCCTCTGGCCTTCTTCCCTCTCATGCTCTCTCTCTACCATTCTCTCTCTCAATAAATAAATAAAAAATCTTTATAAAAAAAAAAGATAACACTGTGTGTGTATATTTGCTTTATATTTTATTACCCAAGTGAGATATATTCTACATTTTTTTAAATATTCGAACATTATAGATAGCGCTAAATTTGCCTTTCATATGTAGTACAATCAGTGAGCAAAGGCATAAGAGACAAGAGATTTGTGTAGATTCAAAGAATCTTTCCTAAAATACTTGTTGGCTCCAGGGGGAAGAGTAGCAATTTTACAACAGAAAATTGCTGAGAGCACCGCGACCCGGTGATAAGGCCAACATGAGCAGTAATAAACTCAACATCATGAGCCCCGTGACAGGATGCACGGAGAAGGAGGCCGCGCCATTTCTATAGTGCTCTTGCTGGGAGGAGTGCCCTCGGTCCAAATGTAAAAAGATGTCAAACAGGCTGAACTGAGGGACATCCAGCAAAGTACGATGCCCACTGGGGATGTCAAGGTCATGGAAGACAAAGAAAGACTGAGGAGGAGCTGGAGACTGCAGGAGACCAGGGTAAGGCAACAACCACACATAAGCCAGAATCCTGACGGGGCTCCCGGAATGAAAAAGGACATGGATAAGACAACTGGTGAAGATCAAATGAAATGTTTAGTTGGGCTAATAATATTGCACCAATGTTAATTCCCTGTTCTGAACATTGCACTGGGCTATGTAAGATGTTAACAACTGGGAAGGATGGGGGACGAACATTTGGAAACTCTGTGACTTCCCTGTAAATCTAAAAATAGAGCATATTAAAAGTTCTTTAAAAAAGAAATACAGGGTATTATTTTATGTATTTTTCCAGATATAACAAAGTGCATTTGTTATTCAGCAAATTATCATTTCACTCAATTATACAATTTTAAGATGTATCCAAGTTGATATACAATTGGAATTCATTCCTATTAATTGTTCCACTGTATGAACATACTTCAGTTAGGCTATTGATACACATTTGGGTTGTTTCCAACTTTCCCTTATTTAAAAACAACACAACCTTGAAAACGTTACCTTCTAAAGCTATATAAGAGTTTCTCTTATCAAGACAGGGAACTGGTGGGTAATTTTAGGTTAATTAATTTCTATCAACTCCCCCAAAATGGCTATCCCAATTTACACTACATTCAGCCGCACATAAATGTATCAATATCTCCACAATTTCACCAACAGTTAATCTGATGACTATCTTATTGTTACTTCCATTTTCATGTCTCTGACATCTAGTGAGGTTGAAAATCTTCTCATTTTTATTATTGGACCTTTTAATTTCCTTCTCATAGGAGTGTTTTTTAATATGGATTGTGTCATTTCCTACTGGCAGTTTTATCTTTCTCTTTCAAACAGTAAGAATTCTAATAAATTCTGATTAACAATCTGCTATCTCCTAATTTAACTTCCAAGGAAATAGTTGTTATGCAGAAAATGTAAATTTTTATAAGGTCAAATCAGTCAGTGTCTTCTTTTAACAGTTTTTGCATGTTTGTATCTTCATAAAGGTTTCCTTGTTTAAGGACACCAGGATATTCTTATTTTCTTTTAATGATTTTAATATTTTGTTTACACTGAGGGGTTTTATCCATCTAGAGTGTATTTTGAGTAGGATAAGTGGAAGGAATCTTTCTCTCTTTGGATAGCAGATTGATCCAACACTATTTCCTGAGCAATTCAGCCTTTCCGCCACAAATTTATAATGGTCTCTTTACTGTACACCAAAGAATCTTCCATTTTTGTAAAGGTACAAATGCAAAAACAATGTGCATTGTTAAATCATAAATTTTAAGATCTGAATATTACATTTAAATAGTCCTTGATCACACAGCTGAAGGGATATTCAGGAAACACTGCTGTTCATCATCAATTTTGCCCTGTGCCTATGATCCTGTTGTCTACTGAACAGAAATCACAATTTTTGCATTTACAATGATGAGACCACTCTCTGCCATGCTCTGGCACTTGTACTCTCCCCAACTATCCTAACAGCTATCGTCCTGAATTGCATTAACTGGCTCATGTGCTTGTCTTCCACTCTGGGTAGTAAGCTTCTGAAGGCACAGCCCACATCTCAATCACTTCTGTACTGCCAGTACCTAGTACAACGCTTGGCCCCTAGCAGATGCTTAACAAGTATTTATCGAATTGCGTTTCTTCTCCTGTGAAGTAGTTTCCAACCTTTTTTTGTTAATGAGATAATGAGGAGAAAGGGGATGTGAGGTATAGAGTCACCTCTTCCTCATTTCCCCACCTCAGAACACTTTTTTTTAAAAAAACCTGCTTTATGATATCACATCCATTACGTCTCTCATTTTCAAATGTCCCTCAAAAGCCACACAAGGTTCATTCCACTTCCACAGTTTTAGGGAAAAGGAACACATCACCAAGCGAGAGGGGAAGAAAAAGAGACTTAAATAAACAGTTGACGTTCTCTCTTCACCCACTGAACAAATATTTGGTCAGTTCCCACTAAGTACACAGCAGTCTTAAGAACTGTGGGAAATACAACTAACTCCCTTCCTTGAGTCTGCCTTCAGAAAAAAAAAGAATTAAAAATGAAAAAGAGAAAGAAGTGGGGAAAATGGCAAGCACCTCAGAGAGGCTGAGAACACACATTTGACTGGACGTGAGAAATGATTCTCTGGGCTCTGGTTTCACAGGAAAGAAAGACCCATCCGCCCAGAGTAAGGACTTTCTCACTTCCCAGATGCCAACGCAAACTCTTCTTTCGTCCCCACCAAGTTCTACTGTACCTTCAATCCTTTCACAGAGCTTATGCAAAGAGTGCATAGGGCAGGCCTCACACAGCTTAATCTGGGTCTTGGCACTCTGCAGGGCAGCTGCCGTGCTGAAGGCCTGTTTCAGAGTCAGCATTACCTCATCGACCTACGAGAAGAAACATAACTCAGGTCTCTAAAACGTGTGCCTTCACAGTAACACATTCAAAGCCCAACAGCAATATGAGACTTTGTTGATGTTAACTAAATAATATATAATGGAATTTGACGATTACAGAGCTAGTAGAGAGAAAATATCAAGTGTAACGTTAGACCTTCAATTATACTATCACTGAAAGCTGCATAGAGTAAGATCATTTTCATGTGTATAACACTGATTACTTGGAGGCTATTTTTAGATCCCACTGAGTGCAACACCATCACTGACAGTTTAAGGGACAGTCAATTAGATCTTTGTTTCATTAAGTAGTGTAGCAGATTTCTTTGGAAGTTCCGTCTGCAATATATAAGGAGCAACAGAATAGGTTTAATGTTCACTTTTGGTAATAGGTATCCTATTTACTTCATCCTTTTGGATTACTTTTAGTGTGTTTTTACTTTTAGTGTAAAAACACAAGGGTTTAAGCAAAGTTCTGGGGGGCAGGCAATGAGTTCAATTTAACGAATGTTGAGGGAAGTCTGTGAAGGTTGCTGGTCTTACCTCTATGTCTGCTAATTTCACCTCTGATGTGCGATACTAAGAAGTTCTGACATTATACTGTCCAACAGCTGGGTCTCACCACTAGGTCAGCAGTTTGAAAACTACTAGCTGGTTTCTCGCTAGCCCTTCCAATGACTCAATCAAGAAGTGCGAATCTAGCAGTCTAGTTTCCCCGCTTGCTTCTCTGGGGTCAACTATCAGCTCACTCTCCTGCACTGCTAATCCAACTTCAGGCCATGTCTCTGTGACGCAATCATCAATGTAAGTTGTGGCTTTCCCATGCTGTAAAACTGAGATCAAAGTCTCAAACCTCCATGGGGAGCTGCAGAGTACCAAGGGCCTCACCGGAGCCAGCTTTGATATTGAAAACCACCTTTTTTAAAGTCTCTCTTTTCCCTCCCCCTTCAGCCTGGTTTAAGAATAAGCTATTATTTAAAGGATTTAATCTACTTCTGCATATGAGTGTATGAAGATCCTGAAATGAAAAGAAACTTTATTCTTCTAATATTACTACTAAAAGGAGAGATCAAACAGTAAGCAGCCAGCCATTATTCATTTATGTTTTACAATGTTACCAAGTTTTTAAAAGGGTTATGAATAATTTCACATTGTTCCATAAATAAAACTGGGTTATTCAGAGTCTGTTCTTTTAACTATAATTAAAAAATAAAGATTTCTTATTCTTGAAAATAAAAGCACTACATGCTTAATGCCTTTGCAGTTTTATTTCATTTGCCTTGTTATGTATGTATTCAAAAATAATTTCAATTACTATGTATATGTTTGTTTCTACTTTCTTGTTTCTCATTTGTTAAAGGCACTGAAAGGATGAGTTATCTGCTTAGCTTTCAAATGGATTTATTATTTGTTACTTAGTAATACCACCTTGTAAAAGAACTCCAATGAAAATACTGAACTTTCATGTTTTCTTCTCTATTTCTAGATGAAACAAGAGGCCATTTCAATGGCGTCTAATATGTGGCCACCAATTTCTTCCAGCCACAAATATTACTAAAATCTTTAACTTCTAAAATTTTAAATGTTTTGCTTTTTTAGATACACCATTTTTTTAGATGGCCTATAAATTCTATCATGGGATCAGAGCAACTAAAAGTTCAAATTAGTGCAATATGAATAACTTTTTTATTCTAGATACAACAACAACAAAAAATCATAGGTCATGTTAAAAGGCTCGAAGTAAAGGAATGCACAAAGATAAATCAATCATATGCAAACAGAATGAGAGTATTCTTAGCATTACTATCAGGCAAAATTAAATTTGCAGTGAAAAGTATGAGATGGAACAAAGAAAGCCAACTTATGATATTAACGTAAAAATCCATAATGAAGATAACGCTCCTAAACATTTATGCACCAAACTTAGGTATTTTATGGCATGTAAGAATAAGCCTAAGAATCACAGAATGCGTCAAGGACTTCACAGGATTACCTAGTTTAATTCTCTGGAAAAATGCAAACTATTAAACCCTATACAAATGCTACGTCTTGGGAGCCTGAGTCGTCATCTTTTTTCTTTTTTCCTACTTTTCCTGGATACTGTTGTCTGCATCTCTGGGGTTTTACTTTTTCTTTGTCTATCAGCAGCAACTTCCATTTTTTTCCCCACACCTTTTGAACCAATTTTGGAGAATGCAAAAATGGTGTTTTCCACAAATCTCAAGGGTTGGTTAAACCAGATGAAGCCAACTGCCGACAAATATTTTACAAAGGAAGGAAGGAAGGTGTGCCGAGTGTCTAAACTTGGAGTGTAATTCTCCAGGACCCATGAAAACACTATACTGTTTATCAATTCACAGCAGATAAGATGGAAAGGAAAATGCTACTGTGTATTCTTTTTGCGCAGAGAGGTTAAGTCAGCATTTGTGGTTTTGCAATACTTTGTCTTACACAACTGCCAAGCCACATCAATCATAACACTGCTTAGACCTATAATATTTAATTAACTGTTTTGTTCTGTTCTATATGTCAGCTGCTTGAACCATACTCTTTTATACAGGAAATCTCATTTAATTTTTCTTCTAGCTTGCACTTCTGATGCCCCACTATTCAGTTAAGATGCGTACTGATAAAGCTAGAATCAACAAGTTTTAAAAGATTCTAGCAAAGGCCTGCCCTTCTTAAATAACAGTGCCAAAACAGAGATTCTGATACAGTTTCCATGTAAAAGGAAGACATTCTCAGCCACACTGGTCTGTTGCCTTAGTCACAGAGCTTCTTAAGGTGGAAAATACAGCACGTTCCCACACCTTCAACTCTGACTCCCTGTTTCAAAAACTCATTCTACTTGTATGAGGGTAAAAAAAAAAAAAAATACTAAAAATTACAAACAAAACAAAGCCTGCAAATGAGGCTGAGAATAAGAAGGTTTTATTTAGTCTTCCTCTTAAAGAGTAATGCACTCACTGACTCAAAATACACTTAACAAGCACCTGCTACTCTAGAAACACTGGGGGTACGACAAGAATAAGAATGGTCCTGACCTTGTGGGATTCACAATCTAGTGAACTAGAAAGCTATGTAAACAAGCAAGAGTGGGCATTAATAGGAACCATGAGAGACCTATAAACAATATATGGCAAGAGCACTGACAACAAAGCAACTAAAAAAAAGTCATTCCTGCCAAAAAAAAAAAAAAAAAGCCAGCCAAAAAGACTTCACTAGGATGTGTACAAATACAAAGTAGAAAAGAAGGGTATTCAAGTCACAGGAAAGCAAGGCCAGGCCTGCCTCATATCCCATGAAGCAGTAGAAAAGAGAATGTGAAAAATAGGTAAGGAAAAGACAGCATAATCTCCTTGTTCAGCAGCAGGGCAGACCTTGAGACCCACATGGACACCTTCTCTGCCTGACTATCTAAACGTGGGAGCCCTGGCTCTGGCCTCCTCTGACACAGCAGACTCCTCACTCTGTACAACCAACAGTGATCTCAGAGCTTCAGCCCCAGCCACTCCCTTCAATCCTTGATCCTATGCGTCCCGCGCATGAACCACTTGCTGCTTCAGCAGTGGACCAAAGGAAAGCTACGCCACACCAATCATCACACCAGCCTCTGCTGTCTGCCTTAGAGGCCATCCGAGGAGATGGGACAGCCCGTGTGAGGATGCAGTCATGAAAAGAAGAGGCATCCCGGGGGGACACCAGAGAAGGAGGAAGGTCATTCTGCCATACCACACAATCTAGACTTTGTCTCTTAACAAGGAGGCATAAACTTGTTCCTGGAAATTTTGTGAGAAATAAAGCTAGAGCACGATGTGGAAAGTGGACAGATGACAGATTAAGCTAGTGGCAGGGAGACTAGTTAGGACATTTGTGTGATAGTCTAAGTAGGGAAGATGAATGCCCAGAATTAGGTAGAGAGGGAAAGGAGGAGAAATGGATAAGAAATCTTCCTATCTTTTCGTTAGCAGGATTTGGTGAACACACGGATATAGAAGGTGAAGGAGAGGGGCGCCTGGGTGGCTCAGTCGTTAAGCATCTGCCTTCAGCTCAGGTCGTGATCCCAGGGTCCTGGGATCGAGCCCCGCATCGGGCTCCTGCTCAGCGGGAAGCCTGCTTCTCCCTCTCCCACTCCCCCTGCTTGTGTTCCCTCTCTCGCTGTGTCTCTGTCAAATAAATAAATAAAATCTTAAAAAAAAAAAAAGTGAAGGAGAATGTGTTATGATTTCTAAACTGGGAAGCTGGGTAAATGGAGATGCCAAAATAAAACGTGGAATAGAGGACAGGTTTTGGAAAGGGATCCAGAAAGTGAAAGAATCAGCCTTAGCGAAGAAGATGGACGAAGGAAGGAGAGAGTGAGGGGTGAGCGGGCAGCAGGACAGCGGGTTCTCCTGATGGTATTTTCTATCTACGTCTTACTTGGTTGGCACTTTCCAGTGCTGGGTCACTGCTTCTCTTTGGCTTTCTCTCTCTCCCTGACTGTGCTCATCTGCTCTCATGTCTTCAACTATCATTTACATAACAGCAACTCTCAAATTTTTATCTCGAGTCCTGAACTGAAACTACAATACCATGGTCACCTGGATCTCAACATGTGGATTTTTCCTAGGTATGGTTAATTATCTAGCATGAGAACAAAAGACAAATGGAACTCTCTTGAGTAAGGAACTGTTAGTGATGGGGACGCCTGGGTGGCTCAGTCATCAAGTGTCTGCCTTCGGCTCAGGTCATGATCTCAGGGTCCTGGGATCAAGCCCCGCATCGGGCTCCCTGCTCGGTGGGAAGCCTGCTTCTCCCTCTCCCGCTCCCCCCTGATTGTGTTCCCTCTTTCGCTGTGTCTCTCTCTGTCAAATAAATAAAATCTTAAAAAAAAAAAGAAAGAAAGAAAGAAACTGTTAGTGATGGGAGTGCTATATTCCCCAGAGAAAACAGGTTGAGACCCAGAGGCCCCGAGTCAGAAAGTGCCTTGGTACCAATCCACTCCCATTTCTTCCTTATTCCTACATTTCCATATCCCTTCTCCACGGGGAATATGGAAGGTCAGAGTTGAGCAGAAATGATGGCAACAGGCACCCCAGAAATGAGAAGAATGCTGCCTGGCTTGTTGTCTATGTCTAAGTGGTGTGTGTTTCCCCAGGAGAAAAGCTTGCAGGAGGATTATATGCCCAAGGAAATATTTTTCTTCAAAGTATGGTGACAGAGCTAAGGGTTTGTATTAAAATGGTTAGGATAACACAAGTGGAAGAAGAAGTAAAAAATTTTAGGGAAAAATGTCAAACTATGTTTAGTCACTCACATGCATTTCTAAGTCTGCCTTAAATATTTCTTCAACTCCAACTGCTGCCATAAAGGGGCAGGAGGAAGGCGTGAGGGGAGGGTGCTGGAAAGAAGAATGGGACTTTCAAATTCCAAAGAAAGAAAATGAAGGCTAACGTAAGACCATTAAAAAATAAAGTGTTTTTAAAATGAGAACGGTGGCTAATGAAATAAAGAAAGAAAACAAAATCCGTCTGCTCTGCTGATGGAAGCACTACCTCCTCTGAGATGTTATAATAACTCAGAGAGTAAGAGATCAGTGGTCCTCCGTATCAGCTTACACGAGCAATGGAAAAAATAACAGCCCTTCTCCTCTTATTAGTCTCTTCCTACCTTTTTAAAGATAGGCCTGATAACACGACCGGGCTCGTTAGACTCAAGAAAGTATCTAGGCTTAAAAATCACCATGACAATTTGTTTTTGTTTTCCTACTGCTGCTTTAAAGAGAAGGAACTTGCTTCTGGATGCCTTCTTCTTTTTCCACTGGTGGCAGTTCTGCGCGGCTCAGCCGGAGGCGCGGGCAGGAGCACGCAGACAATCACACCACTTACCAGAGATTCGTTGGCACACTGGAACACATAGCAGATATACTGGCTCATCCCGGGCTCTGCTGACTCCCGACAGATGAAGCCAAAATGATCTACATGCTCGATACCCTACAAGGGGGAAAGAAGTACAGTGTTTACTGCAATATGTCCTTTTATTCAACACTATGGAAATCGGCATTAGTCCGACGCTTTCACGTTTCCATGAATTTCTCCTTCTCAGCCCGGTGACAGGGGGACATAATGTCATAGCAAACTTATGCGGGGGTCTTCTGACACACAAAATAAAGGGAAACAGCAGCTCAGATTGTTTGTTTCCTGCACACCGTGACTCTGGGCCACAGGAAGAAAGATATGATGGCACGATTCATTGTCTCCTGTAATAAAATGGCTACTTAGTGTTTGCAAGTAATGGACTTTTCAATTTATTAGTCTTCTTGGAACAAGCAGTCTGATGGGTTATCATAAACCCTGCTCTTGTCTATATGAAGCTAAGAATCAGAAAAACTACAACTAATGATGCTCTAATTAAATGGCATGCAATTCCCTAAAGTGTGCATATATAAGACATTTAAGGAACCACAACTGTTAGAAAACTAATATATTAAAGAAACTACTGTAGATGTCAATTATCCAAATTTACAAATCACTATACTTCCTGAACGCAGGCTAAATAACCTCAGCTATACTTAATAAAAAAATCTGAATCATCTGTGAACTTCAGCCAGGCTGAATACATACATACCAATTAGTAGACAGCACCTTGTTATTTCAATAGCAAGCACAGTACTTTAAAAAGCCAGGTAGACAAAAAATTTAAAGTTGTCCTGCAATCACCTAAACCCCAGTGAAAAGAAAATGGGCTTTGGAGTCAGATTTGTGCTTCATTCTTAGTTCAAGCCATCTACAAGGTATGAGGCATTGTGCTGGGTTTCTAGTAATGATCTCTGAGGCTCCATTTCTCCTTAGAAAACAGTAGTAATGCCAACTATATCAGCAATTTTTGAAATCTACAACTAAGAATTACTATTATAGTTACTGGCACATAACTTTGATAAATGGTAACCACTATTCTTGTAATTTACTCAGTCGATCCAATGGATATGAATAAAGGAAATCACTTCTGACCAAAAGTAAAAAGTCAGTAAGGAGGGGTGACGTGACCATTCATGAGCTGAAAGTAAGCTCCATCTGGTACAACTCCTTAGTGATAACAAAATATCTTTTACTGGCTGAGTACTAAATGGGAAAAATTCATAGGACCTCATTAGGTCAGGGAGTCCTCAAACAGTGGCAATGTTTCCAGGAAAGAAAACCACTCCCTTACTCCTCATGCTTGCCAGGGACACAGTCCTATAGATTTTGCATAAAGAAATGTCTGTTGGTGTGCATGTGTTAAAAAGTAGGCCTGTTGCCAAATGTGGCCACATTATAACAGTTCAATTCTGTGGAAAGAAGTAGTAAGAGCAGGGCCAGTGAGGAGCAGAGGTTAACTTGACAATTATTCTGATCAAAGGCCTCTCCACAAATGTTTAATTCTTTTTCTGAACCAGAAGGTTAGGATACAAAGCTTGTTTTTTTTTTTTTATTTCAAGTTTTTATTTAAATCCTAGTTAGTTAACATATATGGTAAAATTGGTTTCAGGTGTAGAATTCAGTGATTCATCACTTACATACAACACCTAGTGCTCATCACAACAAATGCCCTCCTTAATCCCCATCACCCATTTAGGTCATCTCCCAACCCACCTACCCTCCAGCAACCCTCAGTTTGTTCTCTATCATTGAGAGTCTTTTATGGTTTGTTTCCCTGTCTCTCTTTTTTTTTCATCCTTCCCCAATGTTCATCTGTTTTGTTTCTTAAATTCCACATGAGTGAAAGCATACGGTATTGGTCTTTCTCTGACTGACTTACTTCACTTAGCATAATACACTCTAGCTCTATCCACGTCACTGCAAATGGCAAAATTTCATTCTTTTTGATGGCTAATATTCCTGTGTGTGTGTGTGTGTGTGTGTGTGTGTGTGTGTGTGTGTGTACCACACCTTCTTTATTCATTCATCAGTTGATGGACATTTGGGTTCTTTCCATAGTTTGGCTATTGTTGATAATGCTGCTATAAACATTGGGAGGCATGTGCCCCTTAGAATTACTATTTTTGTATCCTTTGGGCAAATACCTAGTAGCACAATTGCTGGGTCATAGGGTAGTTCTATTTTTAACTTTTTGAGGAACCTCCATACTGTTTTCCAGACTGGCTGCACCAATTTGCATTTCCACCAACAGTGTAGGAGGGTTCCCCTTTCTCGGCATCCTCGCTTTAAAAAAAAGAGGGAAAAAAGCAAAAATCATGATTGAACTGCCAGTTTTATATATTTGGATTGGTTGGTTCTTCTTTTCTTTTTTTTGTTACCCATTTTTTTTCTTTTGGATGTTCAGTGAGCATTGCTGTTTCCTTACTGGGAGGTTGAAGGAATGTGTGGGTGAAAGGCACAACTTCTTAGGATGACTCTTTGTGTTTTGGGGGGCAGGAACTACACTGGTTTGCACATCACTTTCTCCTCTATACTTGGCACAAGGTCCCACACATAGAAATGTTCATTCAACATTTACTGAACACCTAAGTATTAAGCTCTATCTTAGCATTTTTATTCTGATGCCCTACAGGATGAGACACCACAAAATCTGATGCCTGCCTTCACAAAACTTATGATCTTGCAGGGACTGGCCAGTAAACAGATAATTACAAGAAGACTTAATAACTACTTTTTCAGTTCAAGTGATATAATCTTTCTACCAATTTTTGGTCCTTTAAATAGGAATTTAGAAAATTGCCATTTATCATTCCTATAACCAGATGCTGCCTCTCTCTCTGTTATTACAGTAGAAAGCTTTTATATTCATGACATAATTTTATGTCACCATTAATAGAACAAATATTAAAATATTAGAAGTGAAAAGGCATTAGCTGAGGCTAAGGTGAACAATTAACAAGAGGTACAAAAGCTCATCATTTCTGAAAGGCAGAACATCTGAATATTATACCTAGGGCAACGCTAACTCTGAAATTTAAAAATAGATAGATGGTCTTGGTTTTTCAACATTAAAATACAGAAGAGGACCTTGGCAAGATCTGGGTCCCTAAAGGTGCCTCTAAGTCACTCTGCTAGGAAAGAAGTTAATCTTTCCCTATTCCGGAGACTTCCACAGAGGTATCCTTGCATTCTTAACCTTCCCATATTTAGATTTAGATACTCTCTCTACTCCAACATCTTCAAAAATTCTTTCTATGTTTACAATACACTTAGGTGGCTCTAACTTTGGGATAGATATTCTAAATTATTACTGTAGTACTTAGGACACTGGTTTATGTCTACTATGACCTTGTACACATTTAGCTGTATCAATAATTTCAAAGCATTCAAATACACAGTGTGTGAATTAAAACTAAACCAAAGAACCAAAATATACCAACACTTTCTTCTCAAACTTTAACATTTACATTCAAAGAAGTGGAAAGTGCTAGTTCTCCTTTTACTACCTACTGCGGCATAAAGAGCAAACATGACTCAGTAATACCCACAAGTCCCACTGCCCAAGACTGAGGACAACTAACTGTGAAGGTATTTTCAAAAGAACTCACCACCACAAAAATTCCACCAGAGGACAGAATTTGATGAAGTGACATTACGAGAAGAAAGGGTGATAAAAATGAGGACCAACTATTAGGATACTGAGGGACCTGGACAGGATTTTGTTACTAGTAGAGATACAAGCACTTCTAGAAGCACTCTTATTTAAGACAAACCCACTCAAAAAAAATTAAAATAAAAAAATAGTAAAATAAGAAGTTGTTTTGTGGTCAATCTAAAAACAAGATTAAGTTGGTTTCGTCAAACATTATGACGTACTTTAATACGTACCTGAGAACAAGAAGAGATATCTTTAAAATTCTTTTCAAGCACAACTGATTTGGTGTCTGGACTGATAAGGTTAATCTCAAACCGCCCAACCTTAAAAATAAAAACATTCCAGTTAAGGATCTAACAACTTACTTTACAATTACATATCCAACTAGTAATACAGATTTAATTGGTATATTCTTCAACATCCAATGTGCTTCAACATCCAATCCAACCAGTATATTCAACTCCAAATATCGGCTACCTCAACACAATTCCTCCTTTTGTCTAAAAATCATGAAAATTAAGTTGATCTCAATTTACAAGATACAAGAAACCATTCTGTTCATTAAAAATGATCATCCTTTTAAAAACATGCAAGCTTTCCTCCCTTCATGATTTCTAAAAACACCAATTATTTAACCATAATTTATAATCATACTTCCTCCCAAATGGTCGACAAAAAGATATCTGCACTTGAGCAAATTAAACTTTTTGAAAATCCACAGCCAGGGAAATTAACATCAATTACGGTGGCTAGCTAAGAAAATGAATGTATCTGAGAGCCTCAAAAAGAGAGGAAGCTCAGTCAATGTATCACCCAAGAAAAGACTATGGATAACTTTCATTACATGCCTAGAGTTATCAAAAACAAAACAGGACAAAACAAAAGAACCCACGAACTTCTGATAAGCAAGTATTACACACTGCGACTATTTATCAAGGTACGCTGTGGAATTTCCTACTCAAGGGTTCTTTACCACAGGATAAAAGGACAGTCGCTCAGTTTTTTTGTTTTTTTTCAAGAAAACTCAGATCTTACAAGCTGAGGACTTAGAAAACCTCTCCAGGGCATTGTTTTGACTTAAGTTCTTTTAGGCGGAACTTGCCATTTTCTATATCCTGTACAAACTCAAAAACTACTTTTTAATTAAGATACGTCTTTTCTGGGTATTAAGGAGGACACGTATTGCATGGAGCACTGGGTGTTATACGCAATGAATCAGGGAACACTACATCAAAAACTAATGATGTAATGTATGGTGACTAACATAACATAATAAAATAAAATTATTAAAAAAAGTTACATCTTTTACACCTATAATACAGCTTGCACCCCGTTATTTTAGCAATGGATCCAGTAAGTTATCAGGCCCATGGTATTTTTTTAACTTTCTTTTTTTGGGTAACATCATCTGAAGATACACCTAGGAGTCTCTAGACTTTTCCTTCTCTAAAGAAAACTTTCTCTTTCTCCTCCATGCCTATCACACTTTCCCAGATTATTCCCATCTTTAAATCCTCTGCAAGACACAACATCTATTTAAGAATCAACCTAAGGCAAATGCTGGTGATATGAAGGGTCATCTATTTAATCGCTTCATTCTCCAGCTCTCCCGGCCCTGTTCCCTCACTTCCTAAAATCCACCTTCCGTGTCTGCCTCTGGGCCCTTCTCTACTTCCGCATTTTCCTTCGCTCGGCTCTCCACCCGCCTTCCCTGCTAGCCCGGGGAGGAGTGAAAGCTGGAGCGGTGCAGAGCGCGGCCGGGCGGCGCCGGCTGGCTGGCGAGCCCTGCGTGCTGAGGCCCCCCGCCAGCGCCCCGCCCGGCCGCACCTGGAACAGCATCGTCCTGTTCTTCTCGGAATCCGACGGCTGGACGTGACTCGGCGCACTGGCGTGCCTCCTTCGCGGCAGTGGTTTTTGGCTGTTCTCGTGAACTTTCCTTTGCAAGACTCCGGTGACGCTGCTGCACCGAGACCGGAACTCCTGCTGTTCATCAAAGCCAGAATCTTCCAGAATCCGCTCCGGGAAGCCAGCTCGAGAGCTGGGCAGCCCCGGCTGGCTGGCCGCGGCCGGTAAGGCAGGCTGGGTGTTGGGGACGCCGTCCCCTTCCTCGGACAGGATGGCGGCGGCTGGGCCGGGCGCCGCGGCCTCGAAGTCCACCGGGTCGTCACCCGCATCCGCGCCGCGCTGCTCGCCCTGGATCCTCAGGCGCTGCTGCTCGTGCAGGCTGAACTTCTCAATGCAGTCATCGATGAGGCTCGACGGGGCCTTCTTGTGGGTCACCGTCACCTTCCCGCAATACAGGACTTCGAACTTCTGAGAGTTGTAAAAGGCATCCTCGCTGTCTTTGCTGGCTTTGGCATCCTCTTTCATGGCAGCTTTGGATAACTGCCTTATGCTGCTGATCACATCCGGAACCTGGAAAACAATTGAAAAATCCGCATTTCAGTTGAATATTTAGAGAATTTATTTTTATCTTATTTTATTTTACTTTGTTATGTTAGTCACCATACAATACATCATTAGTTTTTGATGTAGTGATGTTTACTTAGACACGGAATGTATTCTCATCCTAAATAAGGTATAGAAAGTAACAGTCACACCCCATATAGGATAAAGCATAAACTTAAGTTACACTGTTGGACATCAATGACTTAAAGGTAAGATAGAAATTTAATATCAGTATTATACTTTCCCATTTTAAATGCATAGGTTTCCCAAAAACAAAACTGTGAGACTAAATAGGCCACTGCCAACCTTTAATAAATCATGATATATCCTTTCAGTACTTTGAAAAGTTATTATAAGGGATCAGAGGTCTTAGAAAAATTAAGATTAAAAAAAGTATACACTAACACACATCACCCAGGACTGAAAAAATAAATAAATGCAAAAAATAAAAGTTATTGTAAGTCTCAGCTGAAAGGAACCAAAGTTCCAACAATGAGGATAAAATAAGCTTTCTGGATAAAGAGATTAAGGCCCAGACACTCCTCATCTGCATTAGCCTTCAGAAAAAATGCAAATGAAAACCATAGTAAGATACCATTACACACCTATTAAAATGGCTAACATCAAAAAGAGAAAAGTCCCGCTGGGATGTGGAGCAACTGGAACTCTTGTACATTGTATGCAGAGATGTGAAATGGCAAAACCACCTTAGAAAATCTTTTGGGAGTTTTTCTGGATGTAAGCATAGACCTATCTCATGACCCAGTAATTCCACCCCTAGAGATTTGCTAACAGCCCTGAAAACACATAATCCACACAAAAGCTAGTCCACAAATATTCATAGAAGCTTGACTCACAATACCCAAAACAACCAACCCAAATGTGCATCAAGTGAATACTCCCTAACCACCAGAGAAATGCAAATCAAAACCACAATGAGATATATCATCTTACCAGACAGTTATCGTCAAAAAAGACCAGAGGTAAGTACTGGCAAAGATGTAGGAAAAAAGGGAATCCACACGTTGTGTCAGTGGGAACATAAACTGGTGCAGTTAGTATGGGAAATAGCATGGCGTTTCCTCAAGATATGGGTGGCTCAGATGGTTAAGCATCTGCCTTCAGCTCAGTTCATGATCTTCAGGTCCTGGGATCAAGCCCCACATTGGGCTCCCAGCTCAGCTGGGGAGTCTGCTTCTCTCTCTCCTTCTGCCTCTACCCCTGCTTGTGCTCTCTCTGTCTCTCTCAAATAAAAAAATAAAACTTTAAAAAAAAGATATTAAAAATAAAACTATCATATGATCCAGCAATTCCACTTCTGGGTATATATCCAAAAAAAAACAAAATTACTATCTCACTGCAACATTGTTAACAATAGCCAAGAACATGGAGACAACCTCAGTGTCCCTCCACAATGAATAGATTAAAACAATATGATATACAGATATAAATATAAGTATACAATGGAATATTATTTAGCCACAAAAAAGGAAACCTGCCATTTGCAACAACATGAATGAACCTCAAGAGCATCGTGCTAAGTGAAGTAAATCAGAAAGAGAAAGACAAATACTGCGTGATCTCATATGTGGAATTTTTAAAAACTGAACTCATAGAGAAAACAGATTGGTGGTTGCCAGGGGCAAAGTAGGTAAGGGGGATGCTGGGAGTGGTCAAAAGGTACAAACTTCTAGTTATAGGTTAAGTTCTAGGGATGTCATGTACAGCAGGGTGACTATAATTAATACTACTACATAAGCAAGTAGGTCTTAAAAGCTCTCATCGCAAGAAAAAAAACCTGTAACTATGTGATGTTAAGCTGATTTTGTCAGTCATTTCCCAACATATACATGTATCAAATCATTATATTGTACATCTTGACCTAATACAACCTTGAATGTCAATTATATCTCAATAAACTGATGAAAAAAAGCAAACATAAAATGTGGTACATTCATACAATAGAATACAAATTGTCATCTCTCACTTGGTTTACTGCACTAATCTTTTAACTGGTGTCCCTTGCCCCCTTCAGTCTACTCTCAAAAGCCAGAAGGATCCTTTTTAAACTGAAGTAGAATCTTTCCTCAACAAAAGTCATGTTACTCACCTGTAAATCCTCCAAGCTGCCCATTTCATTAAGAATAAAAGATCCTTACAGTGCCCTAAGGGCCCACGCCATCTGTATATGACATGTGTACATTAAATATGCCCTGTAGCTACATGTCCTCCATACAACTTCTAGTCAACCTAGATGTTCATCTTTTCATCCTAACGCCATTTCCTATGACCTTACTCCTGAACTCCCTCTCATTCTGTTGGCGCCATACTGGCTTCCTAGCCATTCCCAGAGCATGCCCCCGACACTCCTCCCTTAATGGCTCTACGCTCCATGGTCCTCTCCCAGTTCACTGCATGGCTCGCTCCCTCATTCCATTCAATCCATGCTCTAAGGCCACC